CGCCGGGAGAGTTGCACTGGCGAAAACGGTCCTCAGCGCTATTCCCACGTATACCATGCAAATAATGCTGATACCAAAAGGAATTTGCCAGAAAATGGAAGCCCTAATTGGACGGTTCATTTGGGGTGGAGATACAGCAACAAGGAGAGTCAGTTTAGTGCATTGAGATATAGTTACAGCGAGCAAGCAAGCAGGAGGCTTGGGAATCCGGAAAATCCAGGACGTGAATACGACCTTCATGGCAAAGCTGGGATGGAGGATGAAAAAGGAGCGAGACAGCCTCTGGGTGCAGGTGCTGGAGGCGAAATATCCCACTGCAGAAGCAAGCAGGCGGTCCTCAAATGTGTGGCGTGGCATCCAGAGCACGGCACCAGTCCTGGAAAATTGCTTGTCAAGAGAAGTTAGAAATAGCAAAGAAATTCAGTTCTGGATGGATAATTGGGTCCAAGGACAGAGGTTGTATGAGCATATGAAGAAACCTTTGAGTCTCCCAGAGCTGTATGCACCGGTGATCGACTACTGGGAAAAAGGGAAAGGATGGAAGTGGGATTTGATTAATGGGGTCCTAAACGACGACTGGAAAGCGAAGATTCACGCAATAGCTGTTCTCGACGAATCAAGTGAGGCTGATGATTGGGGGTGGAATGGCAATCAGACTGGAGTGTTTTATGTTCGTTCTGTTTATGATTCCATTAATCCGAGAAACTTTCAACCAGTGGATAAGGACTGGGAAATTATATGGTCTCTAAGGCTCCCAAACAGAATAAACCACTTCCTGTGGCTTGTCAAACACGGGCGCCTTATGACAAATGTTGAGAGATTTAGAAGAGGTTTTACGTCTAATAAGATGTGTGCTATTTGTGCAGGTAAACCTGAAACTTTGGACCATATCTTCAGAGGATGCGCAGACGTAGGAGGCTTCTGGGAAAGACTCAAGCCGCGCAGCGTGGCACAACACGCTAGTACGAGAAATTGGGAGGAATGGCTGGCGTTAACATGCGAGCGGAGCATGGCCTGCACACGGAGGAAGATTGGCCAATTACTTTTGGCGTGAGCCTCTGGTGGTGCTGGCGTTGGAGAAATGAAAGGGTTTTTTGGGGTACGCGACCAGCTCTTGAGCAACGTTTGGCATGGGTGGTCGCCCAACGAAACGAGATCAAAGAAGCCTTCAAACGACGATGGACACCGGAAGCGGCCACCACTACGAGGGCAGGCACCGCGCCGACATGGATGAAGCCGGGTGAGGGGTGGATGAAGCTGAACGTGGATGGATGTGCAAAGGATGCAGGATCCAGGGCGGGGTCCTCCGGGACCATCACGGAGCTTGGATACAGGGGTTTACGTACAATATAGGTGCTTGCTCGGCGGGCCTTGCTGAACGCTGGGCGGTGCTTATGGGTTGAGGATGGCAACGAAATGGGGTGTGAACAAGCTGGTATTGGAAAACGACTCCCTGAACACGATTATGAGTCTCGCCGAAAATAGCCACGGGCTCGAGGAGGGATGCAATATCCTGCGGCTATGTGCGATTGAATGCCGGAATTTTCAAGAGTTGGAGTTTAACTATGCCGCCCGCGAGCAGAACCAAGTAGCGGACCGTCTAGCAGCTGCAGCTCTCATGCACGGCATGGGCGTGGAAGACCTGGGAGGCATGCCTCAGCTTGTGGAAGACGTCATGTAGGAGGATATGGTCGGAGCCAGACATGGCCGAGGATATCAACAGCAAAGAACAGGCGGTAGATCTGCCTAAGTTAGCCTCCACGGGTTTAACCCTCCATACGCTCCAAAAAAAAATATTGTTGTTGTTGTTGTTGTTGTTGTTGTTGTTGTTGTTGTACCCTTAGATCATTTAAATGTTAATCTAAACGGCTAATTTTTTCAAATATCTTTTTACCAACCGTGGATATAATTCGTTGGTCAAAATCCGCTAATATAATTCGCTACGCTAACCGCTAACTGCTGATTGTGAAACAAGGACATTGCAAGCTAGTTAGGATTAGTTAGAGTTTCATTCAAAATATACTCTCTAATCCTATTGTTGTGTTAATCTATCTGAGGAGACTTCTCTAATCGTTTGAATACTCATTTTGTCAACAAATCCCTCAAGTAGTTAATATGATTGACTTTATTAATTATATATTTTTTTAATTTTTTCATGGTATTAATAAAATACTTGGTAAATAATATATATAACATTATTTTGTATTATAACTTTGATATTTAATTAAAAAATAGTGCAAAAAAAAAAAAGATAATAGACAATGTAGTGAATATAATCAATTGATGAATTTGAATGTAAAGAACTTTTACATTTGAGAAAAGTAAAGACAATATAACTAATAAAATTATTCCTCTTAATTAATTTATTGATAATGAATAATTTTTTTTAATAAAGACATTGTAGGGACAATGTAGCGAATATAATCAATTGATGAATTTGAATGTAAAGAATTTTTATATTGGAGAAAAATAAAGATAATATATTTAATGAAGTTATTTTTCTTATTTAATTTATTGATAATGAATAATTTTTTTTGAATAAAGACATTATAGACACATAATTCTAAATTAAAGAAATGCATATGTATTATTTTTTATTGTAGCTACTAAATTATTATTTAATTTAATAAGAGTAAAATAGAGTATTAATTATGTCAACTTTAATTGGGATGGGGTTCGAACCTAAAACCTTTCTTATTGAATCAATGAGTAAGTTAACGGTGAACTAACAGAAATTAACGAAAAAGATAATAAAAGTTAACGGATAATCATATTCATTAAGGATAAATTAGGAAATCTTAAGGAAAAATTAAAATCTGATCAATCTGAACCATTCATTTGATTAAAAAATTTGACCGCCATTTTTTCTACCCATTATAGGCCTAACTCTCTTGGGCTCTTATTAGTATACTAGTTTTTTACGCGCAATGCGCGATTGGGATAATGCCCAATGCTTTTTTGTTAAATACTATCCCAATGCTTTTTTGTTAAATAAGTACTTTAAAGTATATTAAGCCAGGATTATAAGTATATTAAGGCAGGATTATATTGAAATTGTTCATGCATAGATAATTGAAGGTTGAATTTGCGTATTTAAATAGGTAATTCTTCTCCCAAAGGTTGAGTCCCCAACCCCAAGGGCCCCCCACACTCCGACCCGACAGAGCATTGTGGGAAGTTGTAAATCACGGTGACTCAATGGTTCAGCATCTGCCCACTTTGGACATAATTCCGCACTGCCGCCGCCGAGGTTCAAACCTTGGTCTCTTCTCCCAAATACTACCCACTAAACCATTGAGCTAAGCCCGTGCGAGTTAAATAGGTAATTCTAAGTTTACAAATGCAAGATAATATAGTCAAGATTAATTATAATTGTCAAAAAAATAATTGTATAGGTATAGTTGAAACCAAATACGGGACATAAGGGAGAACAAATAAAAATTAGGGCATAAAATATTAAATATATACTAATATTGTTTGAGGAGATTCCGACATTAGGATTTGTGGTTAAGTTCTATTAAGACTTTAATTTAATATTAGAATTAGATTAATGGTGTAGTTATAATTCTATATTAGACTTTAATATTAGAATTAGACTAACGGTGAATTAACGAAAAAGTTAAATGGATAATCATATAATTAAGGATAAATTAGAAAATCTTAAAAGAAAAAAATTAAAACCTGAACAATATGAACCATTCATTTGATTTAATAATTTGGCGGTCATTTTTTCTACCCAATGTTAATAATTAAATAAATTCGCTGGTCAAATCCGCTAACGCTAACCGCTAACTGCTGATTGTCAAACAAAGACATTGCGAGGTAGTTCTCACTTCAATTTGTTGTGTGATTTGAATACTCTCTTTGTCACAAAATCTCTCAAGTAGTTAATATGGTTGGCTTTATTAATTATATTTTTTTAATTTTTTCATGGTATTAATAAAATACTTGGTAAATAAATATATAGCATTATTTTGTATTATAACTTTGATATTTAATTAGAAAAATAGTGCACAAAAAAGATAATAGATAATGTAGTGAATATAATCAATTGATGAATTTATTTTCAAAAAAAAAAATTGATGAATTTGAATGTAAAAATTTTTACATTTGAGAAAAATAAAGACAATATGACTAATGAAAATATTTCTTTTAACTAATTTATTGATAATTAATAATTTTTTTTCACTGAATAAAAACATTGTAAGGACAATGTAGCGAATATAATCAATTAATAAATTGAATATAAAGAATTTTTATATTGAAGAAAAATAAAGACAATATAACTAATAAAATTATTTCTCTTATTTAATTTATTGATAATGAATAAATTTTTTTTTTTTTGAATAAAGGCATTGTGGACACATAATTCTAAATTAAAGAAATGCATATATATTATTTTTTGTTGTAACTACTAAATTATTATTTATATAATTTAATAAGAGTAAAATAGAGTACTAATTATGACAACTTTGATTGGGATGAGGTTCGAACCTAAGACTTTTTTTTATTGAAATCAATGAGTAAGTTAACGGTGAACTAACGGCAATTCTTAAAATTTTAACGGAATTAGTTACGGTGTGTGGGTATTTTAGGAAATTTTAGTGTAAAATTTAAATCTGATCAATCTTTTAATCAATCTGAGCCATTCATTTGATTAAAATCTGTGACCGCCATTTTTTCTACCCATTATAGGCCTAACTCTCTTGGGCTCTTATTAGTATAGTAGATATATATATATATATATATATATATATATATATATATATATATATATATATATATATATATATATATATATATATATATTAGATTTCTTTGACTTAATTTCATTTTTGATCCTAGATTTATAGGTGATAATTTACTTTTAATCATTTTTTATTAGAATATTTTCATTTGGTTCTAGTATTACTGTGGTATTATCATTTTTAGTCCTCTGTTAATAAAATTGTTGAAATATCGTTAAATATAAAGACATTTTGATTTTATTTTTTTTTTAGTTTATTACCGAAATGGTCCCTCGACTATTGCGAAATTATTAATTTGGTCCTTGTCAATTTTTCGTGCCTAATTAAGTCCTCCACTTTGAAAATGTTAACAAATTTGGTCCTCCATTTATTTTGCTGTTGCACATCCGTTAACTCGGGACCAAGTTGGTAATTTTGCTATAATCAAGAGATCATTTCGGTCATCATATGCACCATTTTTTTCGAAAGTTAATTACTAAAATGGTCCATTGACTATAGCAAAATTATCAATTTGGTCCGAGTTAATGGATGTCTAATGACAAAACAAACGGAGGACCAAAATGGTTAACATTTTCAAAGTGGAGGACTTAATTGGCCACGAAAAGTTGTCGATGACCAAATTGGTAATTTTGTAATAGTCGAGGGACTATTTCGGTAATAAACTTTTTTTTTTTTTACAAAGTAAGTTGACCCGCTATATTTTTTATGTTTATTTTTTTTTTTTAAATAATTGAAGACCAAAATACCATTGTATTTAATGATATTTAAGTTGTTTTGTTGATAAAAGACCAAAAATGGTCATGCCACAGTAATATTATGATTAAAAGTAGATGTCCTAATAAAAAAGACTTAAAGTGAACTGTTACCTATAAATCGAGTACAAAAAAATAGAGTAAACTCTTATTTATTTATTATAAAAATGGCATTATGATTGTGTAAAAGGGGGGGGGGGGGGGGGGGGGGGGGAGCAATCGTTATGCCATGGAACCGTGTTCACCATCCATGGTGAACATGGTCCCAACGGTAACGGTTCACCGTTATCTTCTTTTTTTTTTTTCTTTTTTTTTAATTGCACGACTTTTCTTCTTCATTTTCACATTTCACGATTTTATTTCCTCTTCGCGCAAGTTTCCTCAACATTCATAAATTATGAATGTGCAGACATGGATTTATGAATGTGCAGTTATGAAATTATGAATTTTCTTTTATGAAATTATGAATTTTCTGTTATGAAATTGTGAATTTTCTATTATGAGATTATGAATTTTCTGGTATGCGATTATGAATTTTCTGTTATGAGATTATGAATTTACAGAAAATTCATAATTACATAACTATAAATTCATAATCTCATAATAGAAAATTCATAATTTAATAAATATTTTTCTTTTATGCGATTATGAATTTTCTGTTATGAGATTATGAATTTACAGTACATTCATAATCTCATAACAGAAAATTCATAATCTGAACAAACGCGCGTCGTTAACAGCAAATTAACTAAAAAAGTTTTTTTTCATAAAAACGACACCGTTTGGACCCATGTTCACCATTCATGGTGAACACGTTTCCAGGGTATAATTTGCGGAGGGCGATAGGGTACGCAAATTATAATGTGGACTCGTGTCCACAATGCATTGTGGACACGAGTCCAAAACGACGTCGTTTTCAGAGAAAACGCAGCATTCCAGTTTTAAAAAAAAAAATTGATTTTGTTTCGCCGCTAATGGCGTTATTCGTTTGTGGTATTATGAATGTACAGTTATAGAATTATGAATGTACAATTATGGAATTATGAATGTACAATAATGGAATTATGAATGTAAGTTATAGAATTTTGAACACAGAGCTCTGACATTATGAACTTACAATTATGAACATATAGTGATAAAATTATGAACATAGAGGTTCGAAAATTATGAATGTACAGTTATGGAATTATGAATGTACAGTTAGGGAATTATGAATGTACAGTTATAGAATTATGAATGTACAGATTTGGAATTATGAATGTACAGTTATGGAATTATGAATGTACAGTTTGAACTTACAATATGAACATATAGTGATAAAATTATGAACATAGAGCTCTAAAATTGTGAATATAGAGCTCTAAAATTGTGAATATAGAGCTTCGGAAACTATGAATTTACAGTTATTGAATTATGAATGTACAGTTATAGAAGTATGAATGTACAGTTATGGAATTATGAACACAGAGCTCTGAAATTATGAACTTACAATTATGAACATATAGTGATAAAATTATGAACATATACTCCTATAACGAAGCGATTTGAAATTTAAAAAAAAAAAAAAAAGTGAAAGATAACGGTACCACTAACGGCACCATTACTGTGTTCAACATGCATGCTGGACACACGTCCATAGCATAACGATTCATCGCCCTCATGCTACCACTGCCATTATTTATTACCTCTTCTAAGGACATGCTAGATCTTCATGATACCTGATTGTGGCATTTAACTATTAGTTAGTGATAAAAACTTGAAAACATACTTTTTTGAATTATTCTTATTCTTATAATCTTATTGATTTAAATTTCACATTAGTTAACTATTTCACATTAGTTAATCTTATAACTATTAGTTAACTATTGATTTAAATTTCACATTATTTTTTATAATTTTGATTCATTGATTATAATAATATTTTTCACTCTTGATTATCGACTATCAAATTAATCATTTTTCGTTCTTTACTTTTTGAATACCGAGTTTTATTTTAGAATGGTCATTTGATTAATATAGTAAAATACCTCCGTTGTCACCTGTCAAGAAGTTTCATGGCTCCAAAGTCCAAAACTCCAAACACCCACAAGGACGGGAAATGCAGTAATAAATTATTAATTGCAAATGGAGGACTAAAAGTACAACAAAAAGTCAAAAATAATAAAAACTGTTTTATCAAGTAAAAATCAAAATTTAAAACTGAAGAGAATTTCAAAAAAGAAGATGAACACAGATGTTGAATTTCTTTAATTTTATTTAAGTACTACTGACTCCATTATATTGTAGTATCTGTCCATATTGAATTGCTTTAATTAATGTTAAAAGAAAAGGTAAAACAACAGAGATTTATTAATAATAATAATAATAATAATAATAATAATAATAATAATAATAATAATATTATTATTATTATTATTATTATTATTATTATTATTATTATTATTATTATTAAACATACCGCACTATTATCTGTATACCGTGAGCTACAACTAATCAAAAAAAAAAAAAAAAAAAAAAAAAAAAAAAAAAAAAAAAAAAAAACCTTTATTTAATCTCATTGAAAGATAACTATATATGTATGTATTTTAAAAATATTATTGTATACATATAAGTTTTTAATTTTAGTTTTACTAGTTCACGTTGCTTTTCAGAAGTTATTGAATGGTATGTTCCTTTCCTGAAGTGGTCTTCATTTAGCCTGCCCAGTTAAGTCTGTCCAGTTAATTAACTCAGAACAACTACGTACTACTTGCTAGTATATATGCGTTTTTGTTATATTAATTTCACTCTTTAATCACACAATATTATAACCACAATTTTACATTAATTATTGATTTGATTAAATTAAGTCCATATGCTTTTAAAAATTGGCTAAACTAACTTTCAAACATAGACTAAGTTTGGTCGTTGGTTTTCAAAATTTTAAAAACTAACATCCTTTTACTTCCTTTTTTTTTTTTTTTTTTTAGATTAACATCATAAAATTAACATAAGTCTAATTTTGATTGATTTTTTAGACCTTATATTTAAAATTATTTTTAGATATGCATTGCTTAAATATAATAAATATAATTTTTGCTTTTGAGTCTAATATACGTAAGATTTTAATATTCGATATCCCAAACCAAATTTACATTAAGATATACAGAGTAACATAACAAAAAAATATCTGAACCAATAATCTATTGAGTTCACCTTAAAATCTAGTTTAGATAATATAAATATTATTTTTACATAATATTTAAAATATTTTTGGATATATTTGTTGGAGTGAAACATGTATATACTTTTTACTTTAAAGTCTAATTTATTTAATATTTTAATATCCGTTATCCAGAATCCGGATCAAACTTAGAATATAACATAACAAAAAATATTTGAGCCAACAATCTATTGACTTCACCAAAATCTAAAAATCAGTTTGGATTTTGAGTTTTCATTATGATAATGTGAATAATTTCTTCTCCCAAAATGTGAACAATCTCTATCTTTATGCATAAACAAATAAATTATGTTTATACAAGTAATGAGTAAAAATAATAAAAGATGGTAATAAATAAATAAAAAAAGATAATGAATGTAGTCATAATAATAGATAAATATGTAAGTAAATAAATGTGAGAATGTATTTTAAAAAATGTGAGAATGTTGTAGAAATGTGATTTTATTGGTAGATATATATATAGTCAATCAATAGGTAATAGTTAACTGAATTATTATTTTGGGTAATTGAATACCCGGCCCCTACTTGACGATGAGTTCACATTATGTAAAATAATAATAATAATAATAATAATAATAATAATAATAATTGTTGGGCGTCAGGCCGAGTTTGATCAGCTTCTGTTCAATTCCAGATGTGGCACCAAGGACGGAGCTAGTGTGGGGGTAGTGGGGGCAGCTGCCTCCACTCCCCCACCCCACCTCTTTATATATATATATATATATATATATATATATATATATATATATATATATATATATATATATAGCATTAAATATTATATAAAATCTATATTTATATTTAAATGATTAATAGTTTGTGTAGCTTAGTGCATTGAACTCTAATTTTTTAGGTTAAAAGGTGTATAGTCATATGTTCAAATCTCATTAACAACACTTATTTATTTGTCTAATTTTTATGAATTATTTAATTAACAAATTAAATGCCCTTTTATTGGGACCGGGTACAGGGATATAGAACGGGGGTAGGGCGCTATGCCCAAAACGATGCGTACAAAGCCCGCCAAATACAAAGAACAAGGCCCACGGGGTGGGCTATAGCTAACTATGCTACTAGCGTAAAAATCGAACCCAGGTGACTGGATTGAGAGTATAGATCAAGACCACTAAACTGTAGTGCCTATCGTGTCTGAGTTGCCCCTAGCTAAGGATCCAGGATCCCTATTTATAGCATACCCCCCTCCTTCTTTGGCGTCCACGCATCCCACACTGCCACTCCCCACTCCGCTTGTTTGTCGCCATCTACATCACGTTCTCCGCCTTCCCAGGATTATCACGCCTTTGCCACCTTACTCACACCACCCCCGACTCACCATGCTCGGCGCACCCGCCCGCCTCCTGCGTACGGGTGCCGCCCGTGACCGACACCCTGGCGCGCCAGGACCGCAGTCGCGCCAGGCCGCGCTGGGTGCGCCACTGTCGGCCGGGGCCAGTGCGCGCCCCGGCCGACGCCCCTCTCGGCCACCAGCGCCGGCCCCCCGCCCGAGGCCGGCTATGGCCCCCTTCAGTGCGCCGGGCGCGAAGGCCGCGCTGGGTGCGCCGTGGCCGGCCGGTGCCTCTTTGCGGCCACCGGCGCCGGCCCCCTCCCGGGGCCGGCTATGGCCTCCCTAGCGCGCCGGGGCGCTAGGGCCACGCTGGGCCCCGCTCTGGCTGCGCTGGGGTCGCGACCTCCGGCCGGGTCCAGCGCCCCGGCCGGCGGCCCTGTCTTGCCGACAGCGCCAGGCAGTGCCGACGGCCCCTCCTGACCTCCCGGCCCAGTCTTCTTGCTTCCCCCTGTCGGCCCAACAACGTACGCTCTCTATGCCCGTGGCCCACCTCCAATATTCCCAATATTATACTTCATTGTATTCAAATTAATTTAGAAAAACTTAAATTTGATCTAACTAAAAAAATTAAAATTAAAACTTATTTATGAATATAGTATTAATTCAAATTATTTTATCTTATTGATTATGTTTCATATTTTGTCATTAATATTTTCATATTTTCACCTCACAAGTATATTTTTTTTCGACTCTATATAGTGTAATCTATAAAAAATATTCTATTGTAATTTATAATGTATTTTGTATTTTAATCTTATTATGGTTGTTTGATATTTTGTAATTGACATTTCTAACCTCGTCTAAATTTCGCCCCCACTCAAATAATTTTCTGGCTCCGTCCCTGTGTGGCACCATGACTTTCCATGGTGGGATGTGGTTAATTGGTTAATGTCCACTCTTTTATCATCAATTGGTTTTAAATAGAATATGACAACCATTGGTTAATGTCCACTCTGTGGTTAAACGAGTTAGACTTACAACCGTCACAAAATGGGTGATCTATTGGAAAGTAAGCATAATGCAGTGGACTGAGGTCAGGGATTGTTGGGCGTCGGCCTAGTCGGGTCGAGTCCAGCCCATGCTCGATTCGAGCTACTTATTACCAATTGAGTTCAGCCCATGCTCGATTCGAGACGTGGTGATGTGGTATACTATGGAAGGATGTGGTTAAATGGTTAATGTTGACCTACTTATCACCAATTGGTTTTGAGTAAGATATGACAACCAGATAGTCAAAGAACAAAGAACTTAATGATTAATCATGCTTGAGTTACAATAGTCACAAGATGAGTCTAAACACTTTAAATGAAATATAAATTTATCACATTAATTAAAGACTGAAAATGAAACTAACTTTATATTATACATGCAACACGCACACTGCAAACAAAATGGGAGGAGACTGTTTGTTTCCTAAGTTCCTAGAAGGGGTGGACCATCTTCGGTGTTTGGAAATTTTTGCACTATAAGAATTTTCAACTTCCAATATTATCTTACAAAAATAAAAATATTTTCCCCAAAAAGTCCACACGGTTGATTGGTTCAAAGTTTGTGTATACAGATATTCCTTACACCAGTTATGATTTGGCAATTCCAGTTCCACCTGCGTGCTCGCTGACTTCATGAGTGTGTACGTCACTGCTTTACGCCCCTTTGTATTAATTAAGATTTGATATGTTAACAAACATATACTCACTTTGATTAATAATATTGACTATAATAGAGGCTACGATGCAAGTTCAAAATTCACTCTCGTCTAAATATGGTATCGACTTAAAAGATGCTTCTTTTTATATAATTGATTATAAGAGACATTTAGTGTTTTTTACACGGTTGCAAAAATCAATCTAGGCGCTAGACATCTCTAGACCGTGTCGATTTCTCTCTTAGGCGTTTACCTAGCGCCTAACTCGACTGAATTCGGCCGAGTTAACTCGTGCGTTTCGATCGAGTTAGCTGAGTTAACCGAGTAGGTTAAGCTTTTCTATTTTTTTCATTATATATATATATATATATATATATATATATATATATATATATATATATATATATATTAAGAGTTGCCAAACAGAACAAACTCATATCAATGAATTTTAACAATGTAAAATTACATGCACTTGTAGGTGAAAGTATGTGCATTTATAAGTGATTTTATCTTCATTTTTTACTTACAAAGGTGCACCAGCTACTTGCACATATAACAAATTTACATGCACCAAAGGATCGTGGTGCACACTGGATGATTCTTAGTTCTCTCCTGGACAGCCATTCGTGAGAGTGCGCCCTTTTATATATATATATATATATATATATATATATATATATATATATATATATATATATATATATATATATATTCAGGGGCTCGCAGATCAGAGCACAATAAAATTTAGAGGGATGAATAATCAATAATTTTCAACAAAATAGGGTCCAATGTTCATTTACTTGAAAAAAAAAAAAAAAAAAAAAAAAGAGTACGTATAGTATTATTTATAGCATACGTTAAGACATTCACTATACATTATGAAACACATATTTTGTGGTATATTAATTGCAAATACTAGAATAAGTGAAACACACGGTAGAAATGCAATTTCATGGACTTCTCTCAATAAATTATGTCCACTCTACCTTTCTACCCCTTTACTAGAAATGCCTCGTGACTTCCATTATAGAAAGGGGTTTTACTTGTTTATAGCTGCCTTAACCAACTTCTCGCTGAAATCCCAAAGCTTCTTTCCCAGAGCTTCATCTCTGGCAAACGCGCTTGCCTCGTACTCATTACAGTCCAGAAAGTACTTTCCACTAATGTCGTTTAGGTCTGGATGGAGCGCCACATAGCACGTTGTAGCTGCCCCCTGTATTATTGTCACAACATACGTACATTGTTATTAGTTATCATATTTATTTTCTGCATAGCTGACAATCAGATTTACCAAAGATATGTTGTACGAGATAAGAAATTCAGAAGCTTTTGTTGTGAATTATGTTTTTTTTTTTTTTTTTTTTTTTTGTTTAAATTTACCTGATGGACATTCTTCCAGAGAATCCAAGTGAACAGTTTCATAATTCCTGCAGAAAAGGAAAAAGGGTAAGAGGAAAGATGAAACAGTTCAAAATGAGTTGAGTGCTTCTGTAAATTTGTATCCAGGATTTGAGGCATACTTGTAAAAAGAACAGAATGCCTCATAAGATTTGTCATTATCAACCCCGGGTGCACCGAGTTCACTGTAATATTACTTCCCTCTTCCTGCATATCATTGTGAGTTGAGACTAGGACTTGGACTTCAATACGTTGAATTGAAACGAATACAACAGAAAACAGAATATAGAAGTTACTTGTAAACGACGAGAGAGCTCATTGGCATGTAATATATTGGCTAACTTGGATTGCCCATATGCCATTTTGGAATGGTAACTGATAGTAGGAACAGAGGTGAGTAGGAGATATCACATAGTTTAGATTTCCACAGCATAGTAAAAAATATTGGCCAGTATAGTATACCTGCTTTCATCATTAATTTTGTCAAACCGGATCCCTTCTTCGTACGTGTAAAGGTGAGCTACAGATGACAAATTCACTATCCTACCCTGCACACCAGTAGCATTTGCAGTCTCCTTCATTTTATCTAGAAGAAGGTTTGCCAAGTAGAAATGACCTGTAAAAGAACCCGAAAACAGTTTTGAAATAATACCCTTGCAAGAGAAATGATTAAGCTTTAAAATTATAATGATTTTACCGAGATGATTTGTAGCAAATTGCGTCTCGTATCCATCTTCCGAAAGCTGAAATGGACAGAACATGACACCAGCATTGTTTCTGAAAATTCACATTTTCGCTGTTAGAGGCATTGTTTGTTCATTAGAATCCGATAAAAATTAGTAAAGCTATGCATTGAGGATGGAGATAAATTACATGAGGATGTTGAGAGGAAGGTTAAGCGCTTTGAAATCATCAGCAAATGCCTTAACTGATTTCAATGAAGAGAGGTCAAGTTGAAGAATATCAACATGAGCAGTGCTGTTATCCTTGAGAATGAGTTGTTTTGCTTCTTTTGCAGCATCCATCTTTCTTGCTGCAATGATGACATGGGCTTTCCTAAGGGCTAAAACTCTTGCCACTTCTAAACCAATCCCACTTGCACCACCTGTGTTCAGATCAAATTTTCAGGAGGGTTCCAACACAATCAGTAAAAACAGTATACAAACACAAAGCCTACATGCGCTTAGCTCAGTAGTTCAAAAGAAAGTATTTGGGGTACGAGACCAAGGTTCGAAACTTGGCAGGGACATAGTGGGAATTATGCCCAAAGTGAGCATATCCCTTGTGCGCACCAGGCATTTCGCCCTGTCTGCTGAGTCACTACGTTACTGTGATTTACATTTTCCCCAGATGCTTTGTCGGGTTGGGATGTGGGGGGCCCTTAGGGTTGGGGCAAGTATAAAACACGGATTCGTTAATGAAATAAATGGTAGACTATTCTTCATGGTTGTACTATGATTTAGGTAAGAGGTCTCAATTCAATCCCCACATACCCTGTCTCCCTAATAAGATGTACAGAAAACAAAACAAGAAATAGAAAGAAATAAAGGCTGTCTATTATCAAGAAGGCTACTAAACGTGGTGGGTTAATATAACAGCTAGTGGGGCAGTACTCTTAGTGGGAGGGTACCATGAAAGTGAAAGTCACACTCTTTGTCTCTCTTCTTTAGCTTTCACAGCTCAGATTTAGAACCCCTATGGCCCTATGCAGCCATGTCTCACCAACATTTTCCAGAATTATACATTTATACCCAAGGCTCTTTTTTGCTCATGACATTGATAGAATATAATGAAAATCTCTAGTGTATAATATGGACTTGTGAATATCATATATCATATATGTATAGGGATTAGACAATGGCCTTGTGATAATATTTGATTGATTGATTTATTTATATTTAATTAATAATAGATTTATTTTTTCTTAAGTGTCAGTCAATTCATTATAGTATTATTCACCAAACAAACCAAGAACTAACAGAGGTCGTAGTTGGTCAACAGAGTGTCACTGAAACAAACATTTCCTCAAATATCTACCATACTGTCTTCGATCAAATTAGGAAAATAATCAAATTACTAAATAAACAAATTCAGTGAACAGTAATTTACAGCTTTATTTAAACAGCTGAAGCTATTAACCAGATCAAATTAATAGATAAACAAATTCGGTGAACAATAATTTACAGCTTTCATTTAAACAGCTGAAGCTGTTAACCAGATCAAATTAATAGATAAACAAATTCAGCGAACAATAATTTACAGCTTTCATTTAAACAGCTGAAGCTATTACCCAGATCAAATTAATTGATAAACAAATCGTAGCTTTCGATCCTTTAAACAGCTGAAAGCTATTAACCAGATCAAATTAATAGATCAACAAATTCGATGAACACTGATTTACAGCTTTCGATCATGTAAACAGGTGAAGATATTAACCAGATCAAATGAATAGATAAAAAAATTCGATGAACAGTGATTTACAGCTTTCGATCATTTAAACAGCTGAAGCTATTAACCAGAGCGCACATAAAGTTTACGTATGACAAACTTACATGCATATGCATACTCAAAGAGAAAGATATTGCATATATATATGGATAAAGTGAGACAGAAGAATTGAAAATAGAGAGATTAAAGTGAGTGCAATGTTAGAAATGCCAAAGTATCGTGGCTGCAAAGAATGTGTTCGACATATTTCCCGACTGGGACAAAGAGCATATATATATATATAAGCTGGAAGAATGCATGGAGAGGCAGTAAGGAAATTATAAACCTGTAATAATCGCAGTGAGATTGGAGGCATCAATGCCTTGAGTGACCTGCTCAGCAGTGGAAGCTGATCCAAACCCGCTCGGCCCTGGAATTCCTGTAATCAATCTCAACATCTTCTTTCCCTTTCTGGAACTCTTCTCTCTCTCTCTCTCTCTCTTTCTTTCTGCAGTGAAAACAAAGTAGAACCTGCTCCTCTATATATAGAGTAGATGAGTGTAATTCAAAGTATACCGAAACTGCAAGATTTTTCGTCTACTCTACTTGAGTATTAAAATCCAGTGATGAAATTCTGGGTTACTGTAGGTGGTGAATTCGTTCGGCATTTAATGCTTAGTCGGTGCCTTAATTCCAACCTACCTTTCAACCATATTGTATACTCAATATTTTACATATGATCTGAATATAAATTATAGGCTATGCAACCAACATGATTATGAATGCAATATGAAGGGAAATGAGTGTAATTGTAAAAAAAAAAAAATAAAAAAATCTATCATTCAAGTGAGTCAAGAACCTCAGATCAGTGTGATTTCAATTTATATTATATTTATAGGCTAAGATGGTATCTAGCTGTTACAACTTACAAGGGAGCTAATAGGTTAAGGCTGCATGTCTAAAGACTGTTTTTCTCATAATTACTCATAATCAGGATGGCAACGAGAATATAATTTTATGGAGTTTTTTTTTTTTTTTCCAACTTTTGCCCTATACCTGTTGAATCATTTTCACATTTAATCTCCGAACCAACTACTAATGGTCCTCACGATTTTTAAAACCTTATCACATTAAATCTTTCGGCCTAATTTTCGATCACCAATAACTAAATTCGTGTCTCTATTTCATTAGACATAAGTGCATAATTGTAAAGTGATTTATCTTGATAGACAACATTGTCATTTTTTAACTAAAAAATATGGTTATTGGTGACTGAAAATTAGGACGGATGACCAAATGTTGCAAGGTTTTAAAAGTTGTGGAATCAAACGTGAAAGTTTTAATAGTTGAGACTAAATGTAGAAATGATGCAATAATTGTGGGACCAAAAATAAAAAGAAGATTGGTAATATTAATTTCACCATGCGACATGCTTATCCTTGGTGAAGATAAAGGTATGTGTCCGCATGGATAATTCAACTAGTCACAGAAATGAAATTAGTCACAAGAAATTTAAAGATCGAGTCTCATCAACGATAGTATGATATATCGTTGATAGTAACCTCTCAAAATTAAGGGCTTTTTGTGTAGAGTGAACAAAAGTAAGTTTAATCTTTGTTTAAAGTGTCAAGCTGGGGTGTGGGGTTGAAGACTGACAAAAAGGGGAGTGGATAGTTCATAGTTGAGTGTTTGGTGTTGGATTGATGGTGTGGAGTGTTTCATTTATTGAGAGCTTATCCGATCCTGAAACTGCACCGATCAACCGTCAACGCAATGGGCAAAGGAATGATGCCATCCCAAAACAATGACCGAACTGCACGAAGACTCCATGACAACACTCTATATTTTGATCTCTTTAATTTTTATTTTTATTTTGGATATATATAATATATATTTTCTACATCAAATTATATAAGAATGAAAGGAAAATTCGGCATGATTTACATCTTTCCAGATGCTCTGTCGGATTGGGGTGTGGGGGACCCTTAGGGTTGGAGTTCAATCTTTTGGAAAGAATGAAAGGAAAATTCGTTTACATTAAGTGAATTTTTAATTTTTTTAAAAGAAGAAAAATAAATAAAAATTAGATTTTTAAATAAGAAATCATATTAAATAGATACACATTATTTATTAATTAAAAATTATTATTAAATTAAAGAGGAAATCACACTTTTAGTTCCTCAATTAGTAGCAGATATGATATGTAGTCTTTGATTTTCAATTTTAAAAAATTCGATCCCTCAATCTTTTGAACTTTATACAATTTAGTTCTTTTATTATATTTCGCATTAACAACCGTTGAAGAGTAATACCATATGAAAAAAAAAAAAAATTATCAAACTCATAAAGGCCAAACTATAAGGACTTAGAGAAATTCACATCTAATCTTTGCAAAGATTAACTTCAAATGAATGTGGAGCACAAATCATCTCCGATCCAATTCCTGCTTATTAAGTCCATAATAACATCCACAATATATATATATGATTATGAGTCCCTAATTGCAACTCTTTTCAAATTCTTTATATTGCGAAGTATGAACGATTTTCTAGCTTAACCACGCGTTCCAACAAGCTAGCTAAATGAAGACTAAATTTTTTGAAGTTTTGTTGCAAACATTAACTAAAATTAGCATTTAAAATGACTATTTTGAGTGAGGTCCACTTTCAATTTGAATCAGATCAAAGTAGGTTCTGATTTTCCTAGTTGAGATGATGAACTTGATATATTATGCACTCAAAATGAATAATGAGTAAATTAAAAATTGATTCTCAAAGTGTAAGTTATGAAAAATTGATTCTCAAAGTGTGAGTAAGGAGTGCAAATCAAATCCCTAAAATAAGCTCGAAAAATAGAATATTTAAGACTTTTTAGTTTCTAAAAATTCTTATTTTTATTCGTACATCTATCCATTCAACTATACGTTATGTTGGGCAGAATGTTTTAGAACTTTTAACTCTTTAAAAATTTTGATTTTCTTTCAAACTCTCTCTAGTTCCTCTTATTAGGACGCTATGTATTTGAGTTTGATTATGATTCCCTATCTCAGTCTCTCTGAGACTTCCTTCTTATATATACCTGTAATCTGTACATTGTATTATTTCATTCAATACACAACTCTATTAGCTCTCATATAGTATCAGCTAAGCTAGGGTTTTCTTTCCAATGGCTGACGGATCTGTTAATTCCTCTGAACGGGCCATCTCTAATGCTCCTATCTCTTCCGCTACGTTGGTGGTTAATTCTTTATCCACCGCTCACCACTTCATCAACATTAAGTTGACCTACAAGAACTACCTGTTTTGGAGAGCCCAGGTTGTTCCCTTCCTTTCTTGATGGTCGCGATCTTCTTGGATTTGTTGATGGAACGAATTCATGTCCTCCAGCCACCCTAACCGGCAACGGCGATGATACGGCAACCACGCAGCTCAATCCGGCGCATCGTGTGTGGGTCCGGTAAGACAAGCCTTATTGTCCATGCTAATGTCGCCCTTCTCCGGTGAGGTCATGCCTCTCACCATCAGCCACCGCACTAGCCGAGCTGTCTGGACTGCTGTGGTTGGTGCACTCACGTCGTCTTCCCCGCTCCCGGGGTCTCAATGTACTCGGACAATTGCAGACACTTGATCAAGGAGACATGCCTGCGGCTGACTACATCGGCAATGCTAGGGTTTTGGTGGAGGAGCTTGCTCTCGCTGACCGACCTATGACACTCGAAGAACAAACCTTTACGTTATTCGGGGGTTACGGCCGGAGTTCAGGGGTCTCGTATCGTCTCTCAACATACGCGGCCAGCCTATTACTCTCCAAGAGCTTGCGGATCTCTTGGGCTCGGGGGAATTTATAACGTGCGGTGGTCCCGGAGGTAGTTGGCCGGCCGCTTTCACGGCGCAAAAGGGCAGCCAGAAGGGCGGTAGTTTCGGGCGCGGTAATGGTGGCCGTGGTTCCGGCCAAAACAGCGGTCAAAACAGCAGCCAACTGCGTAGTGGTGGCGGCGACCGTGGGCGTGGTGCCGGTCGCCGTGGTGGAGGACGCAACGGCAACTGGCAACCCAAGTGTCAACTTTGTCATGTGTTAGGTCATACTGCTTCCACATGCCATCTTTGGTGTGCCAAGGATCCTCAGGCTAATGTCATATATCAAGAAACTCTTTAAGATCCTCAAGGTTCCCACACTTGGCTTCCAGATATAGGTGTTACCAATCATGCCACTCCGGACATCGCTGCTCTCTCCTTCTCGGAGGACTGCAATGGTAATGACACATTACGTGTCGGTGATGGTATGCGATTACCTATTAGTCGTATTGGTCATGCTACCTTTGATTCCCCCTCTAGATCTTTTCAATTATCTAATATCCTTCATGTTCCTAGTTTGTCTACATCTCTATTGCCTGTTCAAAAAGTTGCATCAGATAATAAGGTGTTCTTTGAGTTTCACCCTTCATTTTTTATTGTGAAGGATATCAACACCAAGGAAATTCTTCTACGGGGTAATAGTTCTAGGGGGCTTTACAAGCTTCCCATTCCGAGTTCGTCACCAACTGCGTTTCTTTCGACTAGAGCCTCAGCATCTGTATGGCATGAACGTCTTGGTCATCCTCATCAACGAGTTCTTAGTCAAATTCTTTCGTCTTGTTCGGTTAGTCGGTCTAGTAGTAATATTCGTTGTTCTTTCCATCTATGTAATGCGTGTTAGTTAGGGAAATATGCACGGTTTCCCTCACCGCGTGTTGAGTCTTCTAGTTCATGTGTCCTTGATTTAATTTACACAAAAATTTGGGGACCTGCTCCCATTCTTTCTAGTAATGGATATCGTTATTTCGTTATCTTTATTGATGACTACTCTCGTTACAATTGGTACTTTCCTATGTCATAAAAGTCTGATCTTTATGCTATCTTTGATAAGTTTTGGGCTATGGTTGAACGTTCATTCAATCGCAAAATTAAATCCATTCAGTCTGATCTAGGAGCTGAATATAAAAAGTTACACACCACCTTGGCTCAGTTAGGCATTCTTCATAGACAATCATGTGCATATACTCTTGAACAGAATGGTCGTGTCAAAAGAAAGCATAGACACATTGTTGAAATTGGTCTAGCTCTCTTAAGTCGTGTCTCTATTCCTTATAAGTTTTGGGATTATGCTTTTGAGACTGCGGTTTATTTAATTAAAAAAATGCCATCCGCTGTGACAAATAAATCCAGTCCTCATCTTCTATTGCATAAATCCCCTCCATCCTATTATTTTCTTCTTGTCTTTAGTCGTCTGTGGTATCATTATTTGCGTCCCTACAATCGTCATAAGATGTCTTACAGATCCTCTCCATGTGTCTTCCTAGCTATCCTGAATCATTTAGGGGGTATAGGTGCATGGACCTTCAGACTAACAAAGTATACATATGCAGGCATGTTCGGATTGATGAGAATGTTTTTCCTTTTGGCAAGACAGTTTTGCAGGCACCACCAGTTCAAACGAATCAACTATGGGCTGAGTCTCTACTTGTTCCAGCTTCATCACCTATATCGGCTCAACCGGTCTCGCCTGAACCGGTCCCGACCAACAGCGAATCTAGCCAGCCAGAACCGGCCCAGGATGGGCCCTCGGCGGACACCAAACTTGCTACCGCTCCGCGACGCCATGGCCGGCCGAGAGGTCGGTCGTCGCGCCTCACGGTTCGGACTCACTCCATGGCCACTCGTAGTCACGCTGATGGTCCTCTCTTGGCTCTATCAG